ATGAATTAAATAGATCAAAATTAAAAGAACCAGAGAAAGTACTTGTAATATTTCAATACTAGATTAGTAAAAATATAGAGTTACGTATAATTACTTCATGTTAAAATACTATATGTATTGCTTTTGGTAATTAATTAGTTGCATTCGCGAATACAATATGTAACTCCACTTTGCTCCTGTGCAACCGCTTACCGGTCACAAATCTGGAAATAATTACTTCATGTTAAAATACTTTATGTATTTCTTTTGGTAATAAGGTCAGTTGCTTACACATAATTATCAATGTGCCAAGAGCGAGTAATGAGATTCCAATCAGTCAAGATTTTTGGCATGGTCTTTGCACTGCTTTGCATGGCGTGTGTCAAGAAGTGCATAGATGTGTAAAGAGTTGGATTCATCGCGTGTCAAGGTGTAAATAATTGGCACGTCTAGAAACCCGGCGTGAAAAGAATAGTTTCTAGACGTGTCAAGAATTGGAATCCCATATTTCACGCAGTGTATAATTTACAATAGTGCTCCAAATATAGCTACCAGCAAACTTGAAAGGCTGCATTATAATGCAGCTTGTCTAATCTCTGGTGCTCTGCATGGTTCAAGCACATATAAGGTCTTGAAGACATTAAACTGGATTACTTTCTCTGAGAGATAAGAAGAAGCCATCTTTGCTCATTTCTATTTCAAAGTAGAATTAATTTATCAGCTTCATATGTCACTGAATTGTTTAATAAATACTTAAATGAATCAAATAGAATCCTAAGGGCTGTCAGAGAGTATAATGTGCCTCTAGTTCATTTAGAAAAACTACGTATTTTGCTGCGATTGAAGAATGGAATGGTCTGCCTAATGATTTAAGAAATTGCAATAGAATATCAACTTTTAAAGGCAAACTTTAAAAAAGCATTTCGGGAATGAAAAATGTATAAGTATTATATCATCACTTGATATCACTAGAAAAACTGAAATTATATTTACAAGATTAAAAGTGGACCTATTTTTAAAAAGTCAATTATTTGCTCATCATTTTACAAACATTGACTCACCAGCCTGTAACTGCGGTCATGAAAATGAAACCCCTACTCGTTTTTTCCTCAACTTGTAGAGGATAGAATCCAACTACTTATAGATCTCCATATTATTGGTTGTTTAGAAAGATTCTTAGATGCTAACTCTGTTAGCAAAGTAAATATGCTTTTGCATGGTACCACTGAACTTAGTAATGAAGATAATACACTTCTTCTGAAAGCAACTTTAAAATTCCTAAAAGCAACCAAGATTGACTAACATTTATATTACACCACCCCATAATTTACACCACTGCACACCTTTTTGTAAAGCATTCTAATATCAGCCTTTATTGTGTTTTTCCTTTCTGTTTGTATATGAACAGTTACGAATAATTGTAACAAATTTGTATTTGTATTGCATATTAGTGTATGGTATATTTACTTCGAAGTTCAACACAAATGTTAAATTGATTAACCTTGTTGAATTTTCATTGTATGATATTATATGTTATAATATATGAACTTGAAATAAAAATGATTAAAATGATTTTATTTATACTATGATAAAGATTATTACTACATAATTTGTATATACTGTAAAGTTATCAAGTGACTGCATTGTAAATCAATATAAATCACAAGAATATACGAGGGGTGATCAGGAATTTCTGGACCGTTGGCTCTATTTTTGCCATTTTTTTATCCTTTCTTGATTTTTTTCACACAATATAACCCAAATAGATCACACCCTGATGATTTCACTGTTCTATGACATCATTATCCTTTTATTTTTGTTACCATGGTAACCTGTGACGCGACAAGGTGGAGCTCAGAAAAAATAGCAAATTTGAAAAATCAACAGTAGTTTTATATGATGTTTGGACACTGTATTCATCGCTGAATATGTGACCTACTGTAATAGGTTGTATTATATCATGAAGTATATTCATTAATGTTCATAGTAACTGTCATTATTCTTCCATCAATTCCAATCCTTTAAAGTAGTTACCAGTATTTTGTAAGCATTTGTTATGCCTTTTCACCAAGTCCCAAAAGGCGTGATACAGACCGTCTTTGCCTACAAAATGTGATTGTTTCCATCGGTTGTGGCCACGTAACCCATGCACCGTATCCCCCAGAATTAGCTTGGTGTGATTTTTATATTTTCCCAACAGTGAAGAACAAATTATGAGGTATCCACTTTGAAAACATTAATGAGATCATTCAGGAATTCACACACCGATGTTACAAAGTAGGCAAAGACGGTCTTTATCACGTCTCTCGGGTTTGGGTGAAAAGGCATAACAAATGCTTACAAAGTGCTGGTAATTACTTTGAAGGATAAGAATTGATGGAAGAATAATACTAGTTACTATGAACATTAATGAATGTACTCAATGAAATAATACAACATATATATTGTGTGGAAAAAGTCACTCAGAAAGGATAAAAAATGGCAAAAATAGAGCCAACGGTCCAGAAATTCCTGATCACCCCTCGTAGTAACATAACGTTGAAAGAACCTCCTATTCAACTACTTAACGCTGAAACAAGGAGGATTGGCTGCAAGAGTGCAACATCGATATTCTGTCCAATATTGGAAGGGGATGTCGTGCTACAAAATTCGAATTCAAACAGCCGCCATTGTGTACACTTCAACATTTGAATCGTGACCTTTGGTCTTGTTTCCTAATAGACTAGAATCAGGGGGTTCAAAATACAATGACAACTTATATTTTGACGAGCAGGCAAGTCATGTTCCCTTATTGAAAGGAAAGGGGTTCCTTAATTGATACTGAGATTTAACAAGACGAAATAGGTGTCAAAATGTGTTTTTGATTAAAAAATGTGTTTTTTGCAGAATCTTTTTTTTAAATTAAAAAAAGATTTTAGAAATTTTATCTTAGTAAATACAGTCTGGTTGACTATGAAAAAGTGAAAATAAATCAGTTTTGATCTATTTTGGTGATTTTGGGGAGGTTTTAGAGATTTCTCTTGTGGTTGACATAGTGAAATGAATGTAGACTAGAATCAGTGCATTGAAAATATAATGACCTCTTTTTGACGAGCAGGCAGGTCATATTAACTAATTGAAAGGTAAATGGTTTCTCAACTGATACTGAGATTATACGAGATAAAATAGGTGTCAAAATGTGTTTTTGGGTAAGAAATGTGATTTTTGCAGAAATTATTTTTTAAAATTAAAAAAATAAAAAATTTTATTTCAGTAAATACAGTCTGGTTGACTATGGAAAGGTGAAAATAAATCAGTTTTGATCGATTTTGGTAATTTTGGTGAGGTTTTAGAGATTTCTCTTGTGGTTGACATATAGTGAAATTAATGTAGACTAGAATTAGTGCATTGAAAATATAATGACCTCTTTTTGACGGTCCTTTTTGACGAGCGGGCAAGTCATGTTAATCAATTGAAAGGTGAATGGTTTCTTAATTCATACTGAGATTTTACAAGAAAAATAGGTGTCAGAATGTGTTTTGGGGGTAAAAATGTGTTTTTTGCAGAAAAAATTTAAACATTAAATTTTTTTTAGAAATTTTATTTAAGTAAATACAATCTGGCTTATGAGTACAAAAAAGTGAAAATAAACCATTTTTGATCGATTTTGGGAAGCTTTTAGAGATTTCTCTGGTGGTTGGCAGTATATGTATAGTGGAATATATAGTCAATTTACTATTTTTGCATTCCTAATAGAGACAATATTTAGGTTTACTACTCGAATTAGCATTTCTCCAAGAAAATTCAATTTTATTCCGTACTACATTCTGTCATATCCCTTCAGTTATATATTATTCACATATTCATAAAAGTAAAGAATACCAAAAATGCATATTGTAATATATTCAAAACCTTTGCAAACACAATGATCAGTTTACTAAACAACACTATAAAATTGACATTGATACATACAATGTTATATGGAAACATATTTTTCAGTATCATCACCACAGGCTGTCATCAGCCATTTTGAACAATGGGGTATATCAGGTCGTTTTTACAAGTTTCAATGTTTCCACGCAATTTATTACTAAACTGAAAAGCAGATTAAATGAACCAGCACAAATACTGACATTGTAAATCATGCTCCTCGTAGAAATTCGTCTCACACCTTTTATGATCCAATATGATGTTACTGCAGAAGGCATGATCATTAGCTAATACATAGTATCTTTCTCTCACATCTGACAACTAAGAACATGTTCCTCTTTAGCAGCAGAAGATAATTCACTTGTGAGAGAATGCTGCATGCTAAATAGATACTGATGTTATATCACGTTTGAATTTTGAAAAAATGTCTTGATGATCTTTGCATTTCATTGACATTAGGTGATACCAATCCCAATGATGGATATTGTTGGTACTATCCAGAATTATATTATACTGGTTGTTGTGTACTATACTGGAATATCAGAAATGTATGTTGTGCCATTTTAACTTTTGTGGAGTTGTACCTTCCCCATTGTTGAAAATATATCATATGATTTATCAATTATCTGTAGAGATCCTGTTTGGATGTTATGCATCAATTGTATTTTCAAGGTTCTCTGTATATATTGTGTTCAACTGTTTCTTTTGAGCTTTTTATAACGTTCTTCTGGATTTAGTACAGAAACTGCACACTGTTTTCTGTGTGATAGACGCCACTGTCTGAACCATTGACTAACAATTCTTTTTTGATAGGGAGATGATTGTGAGTGGTGATTATTGGTTCTAGACCGTACTAGTTCAATTAAGTCAATCAAACCAGAAAAAGTAAAATTATCGTAACACTAGATTGGCTGGCAGAGCTCCAACCTGGCACAATGACAAGTTGACGACAACTATTTATGTGGTGATCAACACTGATTGTATTGTTTGAACTAGTTAGGGGATGAAGAATATTATATTAATTAATTGTCTAATTAGTGCCTTTTGACACCTCGTTCACCATGTTAAATCTCATAAATCTTTTGTTATATATAAGGGAGTATTTTGATATAGGTCTCTTGCCTGCTCGTTGCGTTTTCATTGTTGGAAAATATCGACTTCGATTCTGGGAGCCAATCCTCCTACGCTGATAATAATGAAAGTCAATTGTTTGTTTCTCTTAATTTTGAAAAGCACATATACTGCATTGTTATCCTAGGAAGGCTGTCTAGGGTTTTCTGATATCACTTGCACTTTCGTTCTGGAACTCCTGAAAACGTGTAAAAATCATTTCATAAATCAATAGATATACACTCCCCTCCATAAGTTTGTCAACCTTAGCTCCCCCATTGTACTACGTGATAAAGCCCCTTTACCTTTGATTTTTTTATTTACTTAACCTGCGATGAAAATACTTATACTATTGATGGAAACGTATTTTGACTTTATTTCCAATACCTCTAATTTTCTCAATTTTTCCCCAAATTACAATAGGTCAAAATTGATGATTTTTTGAAAATCGACATTTCCATGTTAACCAATGGGAAATGGTAGGTTTGCTGCAAGTCATATGGCAGAATATCCCTCCATCAGAGTCCTTGCAAAAAATACAAGTTAGGTAGGCAATTGAATTTGCTAACTTTATGGAACAAAAAATTGTTAAGTTTTCTTAAGGTTCAACAAAGTTATAGGTCTTTAAAATCAAAATTGTTTTTCAGAAAACCTCTCCAATTGAAATAACACAGGAGGCAAAAAATGATTTTCAAAAACGACTTTGAAGCTCTGTAAATTTAGTATTTATCAAGTAAACTAAACACTAAGTGTACAAAAAAGTTAGACAATTCATGATCAATTTTTTATACAAAAATATTTCATGCCGAATCTTTCACTGAATAGATATCCTGATTTCTGATTTACCCAGAACCCACCATTTCCCATTGGTTTACATGGGAATGACGATTTTCAAATATTCATCAAATTTTTCATCAATTTTAGACCTATTGTAATTGAGGGAAAAAAGTGGAAAAATTTGGAGGTACGGAAATATAGTCAATTTACGTTTCCATCAATAGTATACGTATTTTCATCGCAGGTTAAATAGATAAAAAGTCAAAGGTAAAGGGGCTTTAACACGTAGTTCAATGGTGGAGCTAAGGTTGCTAAACTTATGGAGGGGAGTGTATGACAGTTAGCATCATTGTATATGTGCGCAAGACTATAGTTCCGAATTCAACGACCCCATGTTGCTAAAGCAACCATATTAAGACTTAATATCAATGTTTGTATTGCTAAAGCAACCATATTAAGACTTAATATTAATGTTTGTATTGCTAAAGCAGCCATATTAAGACTTAATATTAATGTTTGATGTTTTTTTTAAAATTATTTTCAGCCATTGTAGTTGTAGTTAACATTCATTTGTCTCTCAGTCAGTCAACAATAGAAGCACGATTTAAAACCTGGGTCAATAAGATTCCAGTTTTAAATTATTTGCATTCCTTTTTAATACAGAACTCCCTCCTGTGAGCCCAGGTTCAAAAGCTTGCATATTTTCAAAGTAGATGCCATATCATTATCGGAAAATTCACTTTTTGTCAATTCAGTAGCTTTTTAACTGATTTCAAGTGTCCTGCATTGTAAAAACACATGTCACTATAAAGTTTATTGGGATAATTTTGTAAAAGAATTTGCAAAAAACGAATATCTGCTTTTGTTAGTGTCTGCCATTTTAGCCATCGTTCACTTTTCTCTTTCTGAACAACACCACGTGAGCCCAGAACCCACTGTGCTATTTAGTATTTACGTCAAAAACTTTTGAAGAGCGAATAATATATGAATACATGATCGGATCTTGGCTCAGCGGTATGTTGTCTCGACACGGGTGTCGAATAGTATCGTGACCTGTACCACCCTATGTAAAGTCTGTCACGTGAGTTTATGGATGATGTGTGGGCGAATGGTTCGCGAGTCTCTCCACTTCAGGTTTATAATGATACTTTTAACATAGTTTTAGACTTTGTATCTCTGTGAAACTTGTACCGTATCATTTATGTCTTAAGCCGACTTAATCCTCCAAATGTCTCATTCATGCGATTCCCGGTTAAAGAGAAATTCGCACTTTTGTGTCTCGGAAAATGATGTGTGGGCGAATGAATCGAATTTCACGTGTGGGCGATTCTTACAATATTTTTCTGCAAGCTAAGTATTGAATTGTATTTTATTCCATGATCACGAAATTCCTTGCAATCTGATTGGTCCACGAGACTTAAATATATCTTGTATTTTCAATTAGCGTCTCCACTTAGCGTTGGATACATCTAATGAAAATGACGCAAGCGTTAGGATTAGGTCCAGAGGCCTCATCATCCGCTCGTCGCAACGCAGATTCGCAAGCACACTGCAACGCAACGCAAGTATTGGCAAATCGCAATCAGGATTTGTATCATCCGCTCGGCGCAACGCAACGCAATCGCAAATTGGAAGATGTTTCAACATGATAAGAACGTTGTTAGAATTTCACCATATTGAATGGCCTTTCATTATTTATACGATTTGAAATTCGAATTACTCGCCCACACATCATTTTCCGAGACACAAAAGTGCGAATTTCTTTTTAACCGGGAATCGCATGAATGAGATATTTGGAGAATTAAATTGTCTTTAGACATTTATGGCACGGGACAAGTTTCACAGAGATACAAAGTCTAAAACTATATTAAAAGTATCATTATAAACCTGAAGTGGAAAGACTCGCGAACCATTCACCCACACATCCATAAAGTCACGTGACAGACTATACATAGGGTGTGTATCGACTTTCAAAATGAATGGTCTAGTGAAAATGGAATGGTAAAATCGATGATATTACTTCTGAACCATTCTGTTGAAAATAGTAAGAACAAAATAAACGTACCATGTAAGTCCTGTTATCAAAAGGGGAAGACGAAGAGACACCTTTATTAAGAGCAGCCATGTTACGTATGTCACCGCGGTTTCTAAAGTAGAGGAATCCCAATAGTGCACCAATGATTGCAACCACAACCACTGCTGTTATAAGACTAACTGCTATTATAACTGCCTGCTGGGGGCTATTAGAGGAGGAGACTTCTGGAACAACAAGTTTGGCAAATTGTAACATGATTAAAGTCATTTTAAACATAGTTTACGAGAAACTACTGCAACACATGTTTTCTTACGTCCAATCACAAGATAAACCAGGAGGTCTTTGATGAATTGCTTTACGAGGATATAATTCTGTCTTCCAACACTTCGATGAGTGTCGATCAGAAACACAAGCTACTGACGGACACTAAAATGTTGTGTGAGAATAAAAATATAATCTTATTATTAAAATCAATAAAGCAAAAAAGAATGATAATTATAGACATTAGATTAGTTATGGAAACGAGGGTCAAAAGAATGCCCCTGTTTGTTTCAGAAATTGAACACATCATTAGACAAGGACGACACAAAAGTGTACAACATGTCCCCAACAATATAATTGTTTCATCCTTAATGCCAAACACTAATCAGTTAAAGAGAAAACATTTCAGAAAATCCAAAATGGCCGCCTTATCCTTAAACTATAATGCCCAAAAGCTCAGTTTGAGATTTTCGTACTAAGAATCATCCCTGACAATTTGAAATTGATCCGTGAAATGGTTTGCCTAAAAACTTGCAGACAAGACTTTACAGACAAGCTTTAAGGATGGAAAATCCAAAACGACTGTCTTTTTTACACGAAATATGGCAGTGAATATGCGATACATTGATTTCAGTAAATACCCGATACTCACCTGCGGAATATGTCATACTCACTTGCGGAATATACCGTATACCGCAGGTGAATATGACATATAGCGCAGGTGAAAACGTGATACAGAAAGCCTTGATTTGATTGGTTGCGATAATCGACTACGCTGGATTATCAATATAGTTAGTACGTCGAGTACTAATATATGAATCCTGGATTGACTGAATAAGTGTATTACGTGAGATTGGTGAGTGATACTTCTGCATAAGTTAATATATTCGATACACTGTACTGTTGATTCAGTTATCGTTATAATAATTTATAAAGTTTTACTTGTTCGTTTAATCGATGCAATTGCCAATTGCGTACTTCCGTATCACGTTCTCATTGGTAAGTGTGTATGCCATATACCGCAGGTGAATCTGTCATACACTGCAAGTGAATATGCCGTATTCGTTGCGGAATATGACATATTTTTGTATCGTGTTTACCGCGTAACAGTCTTAACATTTTCCTGCAGAATCCCTAAAAACTAATCAGGTCAAGATTTTTATACAAAGAATCATCCCTGAGAGGGCCGCGAGTTGTACAAAGAATGATTGGGGGCGTTATTTTCACGCATCTCGCTTATGCTTTTCATCTAAAAACATGGTATGAATACACACTAAAGTTGTACTAAAACCAATTGAAGAATCTCTTATTATTTTATTTTCAGCACAAATAGCATCCTTTTTGTTATTTTGACTACAAAGCTTGTGATATTTACCCGCACAGCACGATTTATTAAGATAAGGCTGTCAACCTCTGAAATTTTGTTATTTTTGACCACTTTTTGAGGTCACCTGACCATGACGAACCTTGTGCCAAGTTATTCTGGCGCTAAATCGTTGTTGTTGCAAACTACTACGAAGGCTGAACCAAAGCAGAAATATATATTAGTTCCATATTCGCACACATTCCAATAACCACATAAATAGAGGATATCCTATGATTTTTGAGGGATACCATTTTTATCCATGAGTGGATATCGCCCATCTCCACGAGTGAGCGAAGCGAATGAGTGGAGATGGGCGATATCCAAGAGTGGATAAAAATGATAGACGAGAAAATCATAGGATATCATATTAATCCGATGGTCGCTATTTTATATGGACTCCAAATAAATAAACCTAAAATTTGTTGTTTTCTTATTCTTTAGTAACTATAATATTAACCAATCAGACGGCAGAAGTTATATATCTATATGTTTTAACTTAGAAATGTACAAGGTATATTCTGATCAAATGGATGGTTGGACCAATATTTACAAAATGCCAGATACTTTTACCTTATTTATTGATCACCCTGTACTCTAGACTATTTGGTTTCTCATACACTTATTTAATGTCATGGTGGAATCGTCATATGGATTAAACAGGAGCAAAGTAAAACCTGTCTTCTAGTGTCATATTCTGTATATTTTTAACGATCGGAAACGCTCTGTTTCTAACATTATCGGTTATGATTTTTCAATCAAAATTTATAAATCACGGGAAAACAATAACAATGTGCTTACCAATCCTATCTGTTATGGATGGCGTCCCTTGGGCAGTTTTTGTGGTAGTCATAGTCGCAGTAGTTGTTGACGTGAATGCACTCCTTGGGGTAGTGAATTCTGTTGTTACCGTGCTTTTGGTGGTAAGTGGGGGTTCTTTTGTCACAGTGAGGCATTTTGGATTGGTTGGCTCTGGTAATCCCGTGACCTCATATAAGGACATTGTTCCACTGACGCTCCCAATCACCAATAATAGTGGCTTACAGTTAGGACTCTGATCATATGGAATATATCTAAAGTCAAAGTCAAAGCATTAGAAATTAGCATTTTTTCTATAATTCGCAATAAGACTGAATTCATGAAAAACTGTATATTAGACTGGATGCATTAAGTACTTTAACTGTACATTAGTCTTGATGTTGCAAATGGAATGCCTCTGTCCCAAATGCATTTGTGATTCAATAAGTTTTTCTTCAATTGATTGAATTTCTAAAGCTAGAAAACAAAGGGAAGGGGTGCGATAAAGGCCAAATACCCCCATGGTCACAATGAAATCTGATGTAACATGAAGATTACAATGTTAAATAATACTTTGGAAAATATCTAAGTGTTTGGACACACATGGGTTGAGATTGTGATCATTAAGTTCAGAATTGCTGAGGAGATTTGCTGCTGTTCAGTAATCAATCATAGAGGGAAGTGAACAGGTGAAATTATCATAATCTTTAGTTCACAATTTTAACATGTCTCTCATAAAAATATATAGATAGACAATACATTTTTACTTAATCTTCGGTGTCAGTTGACGAATGTTGAAATTAAAAGCATTTGCTCTTATTCATTAAATCATTGACTTCACCGCCATAACTCAATCAACTAAACACAGTTACTTCTCATGTATTTCTGCAAGTAACATTAGATCGTATCTTGCACAATACGTATTAGACTTTATCTTATGACAAGTGACATGAGTGAGGTCTCAGGTACATAGCATCGGGATATAGAATTGATAAATTGGAAGACTTGGAAGATTTCTTGAAAATAATGAGAATGAGAGAGCTTTAAAGAAAACAAACCTGGAAAAACCTGGATATTCCACCTCGGTAAGGTAATTATAATTATATCATATAATTATATGATGTATTTCCCGCAAGATACACCCCGTATCCAAAACCTCCCATAACTTAACCCTCATGCATTTATTTGTTCAACCATTTGTGAAAAGAGATTTAGTACATGTGTACATGGTTATGCAATTTTTTCAAAATATACAAATCGCGTAAAATTGCATTTTATTTCTTTTGTATATTTCTTTTTTAATGTCATTTGTAAACCATGGCTGATCATCAAATCTAGAAGAAATTATCTTATTTGGAATATAATCTTTCATGATTTGAAACAATGTTTTAATATAATTGTTAGTTGCATTATTTACTGTATCTGTATCAATAAAGTTCCAATTGATTTCTGATATCTTATTATTAATTAGTTCCAGATTAATATCATCATAATACCATATTGTCTTTTTAATTGATGGTTCCCTGGGAATTTTCAGTCTAAATTTTGTAACTATTGAACAATGCAATGATCTGAGTTTCCAACAGGTTGATCCACATTGTAAGTTAGGAGGTGCTCGGAATCAGATATAAGTAGATCAATGCAGGATTTAGAATTATTATTAAGTCAATTAAGATATTACTAAGTTCATATCCTGCAAGATTATTATTATCATCCTCATACCAGATATCATTACGAGCATTGAAGTCTTCGTTTATAATCATTCCATCACTAGGTTTAGTTAATACCTGTCCAAAGTTATCTTTCAATGAGTTAAAATATTGTCTTGTTTCATGAGCAGACATAGAGGGCGAACGGTAGAAGAACCCATACATTATTGACTTATGATTAGCCTTTATCTCAATCCAGCAGTTTGACATTTCATCAGACATATATTCATCACAGATTTTAGATTCAATTGTGTCATGTGTCCAAAGAATCAGTCCCCGTCCATTGTTTGTTGAAAATTTTGGTTTGCAATAGCCTAACAGATTAAAGTTCTTGGAGTTTGAGTCATTTGTAGAGATGTTTCCTGTTTCGCAAATTGCCATAATATGAAACTGTTCGTTTTTAGCATACTGTTTAAGGAATTCTAATCTACCCATTGAATCAGCTTTGCTACTATTTATGTTACAAAAAAGTATTTCTAGATCATCTACCGGTCCAGGATTAATTTCCACATCTCCACATAACATTAACAGAATTCTACTTATGTGACTTGGGTTATGTATGAGCAGTACCGAACCTGGGAGGCAACCTATTGACAGTACCAGTAGAAACAATTTAATAACGACTAGTGAAAAATTAGAATGCTGATGCATGACATATGATAGTACATAAAAACATGTCATTGATACCAGACAAATATAAAATACTTGTTGGGCAAATATTATAATAAAAGACAAGAATGTAAAAACCAGTGTTCCATGTTTGGCACTGATACCTAACTGATCGCAGTAAAGTAATTTGAATCATGGGAATGAAGTACTTTAAAGTTATTTATGAAAGTATCGATAGTGAACCATGGGAGCCAATCCTTCTTGGAGTAAAAGAAAGAAGCGTGCCTGCAATAATCAAGGTCACAAATTTGTCAAATTCCTTTTAAATACGGTTGATTTTGACAGCAAAAAACGGAGATTTTACGGGAGTTATACTAAGAATACAGGAGATTTCACGGGAGTTATACTAAAAAACGGGAGATTTTACGGGAGTTATACCAAGAATACGGGAGATTTTACGGGAGTTATACCAGAATACGGGAGATTTTACGGGAGATTTCAGCAAAAATACGGGACATTTTACGGCCATATTTTTAAAAAAAATTACGGGAGATTTTAGTAGAAATACGGGAGTTTTTTACGGGAGAAAACGGTACGGGAGTTTGGTATTTTTTACGGAACAACAAAAAATTTACGGGAGATTCCCGTAAAAAATGGGAGGTTGGCAAGTCTGTATATGTGTACAATGCTAATACAAATTAATTGGTAAGTCGTATAGTTGGCATATTTTCTTGAATTTTAACATTTAATGTCCCAAACTCCTCCTAACTGCAGAAAAGTATACCCGGTAAATCATATTTACCAAAATGAGTGCCTCCAAGGCTTCATACCAGCGTATGCATACATGTATGTATTTGTCACGAGTTTGAGCTGAACAATCTCCGAGCCTTTCGTCCAGTGCAATCCGTACCTCCTGTGCCTTACCTCATGCAGTTCTTTAAATTCCCGCGAAATATACCCTTCTAAATATTTTGATCTCCTTCAAAAAAATATATTTCATTGCGTTTGCTACTGATTTTATTCGTTATACAATGTTTATTTCTAATGTAGTTAGAATTCATTCATAAGAAAAATATTTAGTAATTCGTAACAAACTGTTAAAAATAAGTGAATACTTAGGAGTTTGCAAGGACTTCCGACCAGAAATTGTTTATTAACACCGTTGCGATGCAGTTCGTTTTGAAGTGACGTCATCCCCATATTCGTAGTTTTCAACATCTAATAAACGAATACCACATGTCGATGTGATGTTTTAATCTATAAAATTGAATTTCTTACATATTTCTCTATCCTGTTACTAAATAACAATTTATGATATTGGTGAACTCGCCAGGAATTAACATAATACTATTTGAAGCGTTTTCAGAAAATTTTGACACCGCCATCTTGAAAACGTGTAGTAATGTGTTGAACCCAGTGATTATCGATCTTGACATTTTACAATTTGTTGCTCCGCGGAGATTTTTACCTAAAAACACATCAAATACAACATTGATTACCAATTTCGATGGTAAAATCATTTGTAAACGTTAAAATTTATGTTGAATTAAAGTTTTGGCGTTGTAAATTAGAGTATTACAGATCGTACTAATTTTTGAAGCTTTCTCAGATCGTGCCCCGGGAATTTTAGAACTATTTTAACAACGTCAGAGAGGTAGTGAAGGTACGCAACGAACGAAATGAATTTTGAGAATGTGAGCTGAAATTTCGCTAAAATGAAGTAAGGGTTTGCCAGATTTGTTTATTGTGGTTAGCTTTTATGGTAAGTGCTCAGAAGCAAATAATTCATGTGCGCAAAATAATCAAATAATCTGATTGGTTTTAACTAATGTGCGCATGCGCACCATGTGTGCCATGTTTTTTTCTCGTGATTTCGTTTCGTTCCATTAAGTTTGTGTTTCAGTGTAACTTCAGAAAAATGGCAGACCAATGAGAGAATTAACAGGTAAAATCACTTCGAAATTTAAAGAGAACTTTTTACCTATAGTAGCAAAACTTTTGTTTTATTTGTGCATTCTATCTATCAGATAAGAGTCTCATGGGTATATATGCAAATCAATTTGTTATTTACTGTCAGTACTATGGCTATGCGTTAAATTTCGACGACCTTGAAAATGCTAAATTGTACACAAAAGTCTAGTACAACCGTGACAATATTAAAAACAACCAATGTATTACCGTGGCAATGCTAAATACCAGCAATAAGTCTAGTGTGACCGTGGCAATGTCAAATACTAGCAAAAAGTTTAGTGTGATGGTAAAATGAAGGATGCGATCTGGCATGAGCATAGGAATCTTAAAAAATAGTACCGTGGGTACTGGGCTCACATTGTGTTGCTAAAAAGTGAATGATGGCTAAAATGTCAGAAAATAAAAAAAACGGATATAAATTTTGCCGATTTCCTGTAGCAAAATTATTTCATACAACTACTCTTTACAAAGACATGGCTTTTTACAATGCAGGACACCTGAAATTATTTGTAAATCTAGGAAATGGGGCAAAAGTGAATTTCCCGAGACAAAAATGGTGGCCGTTTTGAAAATAGGCGAGTTTTTGAAGCAGGAGTCACAGGTTTTTTTCTTTATTGATGTTGAACAAAAATATTTCAAAATGGGAATCTTATCTACAGAGGATTTAAAAAGAGCCAAGTGTTGACAGACAGAGATTTTACAACTTGCCACTATCCTGGGCTGACTGAGAGACAGATTGACAAATAAATGTAAACTAAAATGGCAGAAAATAAAAAAAAGATATGATTTTTTGCCGATTTTTTGTAACAAAATTATTTCATACAACTACTCTTTACAGTGACATGGCTTTTTACAATGCAGGACACCTGGAATTATTTATAAAGCTAGGTAATGGGCCAAAAGTGAATTTCCCGAAACAAAAATGGTGGCCATTTTGAAAATAGGTGAGCTTTTGAACCAAGAGTAATAGGGGAGTTTTTTGTATT